TTAAGGAAAGCCTTGATGGCTTCTCATACGTATGAGTTGGCAACCAGACTAGCTAGTGAGGGATCCCAGTGTCAGTCAAGTATTTAAGTCAAGCTTTGAGATTTAAGAATGGAGTAACAGTAACTCCCATACAGTTTTAAGAGTTAAGCTTTTCGATAGTGGAAGTACAAAAGAACTTCCACACAGTTAAGTAAAGTGCTCAAGTTTTAATAAGAGGTTAAACGTAAGGGCGTAGAATGACCCCAACTCACTCACCAGTTTGAAGAGGAAGAAGATAGAGGAGCAATTAGAGAGCAGCGGGATCGAGAGAAACAGTTCGAGTGAAGCTAGCTAGAGGAGGACGGTACGAGTATCACTGAGGATGTCTAGTCAGAGTTTTTCACGCAAGCAACAAAACCTGAGACTAGTTAGTTATTATGTTTTATGATTATGAGTATAGACTGGAGATCAAGTTGAGTTTTTAAAGGTTGTGTTTAATTAGCCCACATGTTACGGCTTTGCTTTGAACTACAAGTGTGTGTTTTCAGTATTTTATTTATTGAAATTTTTCCCAGTTGCAATTTAAGATTTGAGTATTTTATTTATCAAGGGAATTTTAGTAAAAGTAGTACCCGGCCGGGTTAGGGTGTTTCATTTTGGTATCAGAGCCCGGTTTTCCTCTGTTCCTTGGTCTCCAAGGAATATTGGAATGTCGGTCTCAGTTTTTAAAGGTTTTGTTTTAAAGGAAAGGAAAATGAGTCAATGGTCCTCTTTTAAGAGTTTATAGAATCTCCATTCTACTCTAATCATAATAAGGTGAATAACTATTACAGCACGACACTATGAGAAGGTAGCACGAGGGTGCAATTGATTTAAGAATTAGCTAGGACGCGAGTTATGTTAACTCGTCGTGGGACGTCAAATAAGAGGCTGAGGCGTATGGCGATCATCAGTATGAACGGAAAGAAGCAAGAAATGTGGCCAACCCAAGTAGAATCTCAAAGTCTCTCAAGATCAAGTATCTTAGTGACACGATGGGTAATGGTTAGTGAATCAGTTAACCAACTCTTGGGACGTTATCGAAGAGATTATCATCATCAACCTAGAGAAGGAAGGAGGAACGTTGCAAAGGTCTGTGGAGGTAGAATCAAATGTGCGAGGACTTCAATTCCAAACACCAGCATAGAGGTGCCAATTGAAAGGGAATACCTCAAAGATTTTGAAGGAGTTGAGAGAGTAGTACGAGGATTTTACTACTAGGAAACAAGTGGATGATCTAATAAGCTAAGACAAACAAAGGGGAGAAATATGAATCTCCAAAGGAAGAGGAACAATCACCAGATGCCAGTAGCGATGATAATAGGATGATGTTATGACCCTAAGCAGTGGCGAGAAAACAAAGAGTCAAGAAACAAAGAGGTACCCCGAGAAGTCCCTCAGCTAGTTTTTGTGGACGATGGCTCAAAGCCATTACAACACAGTGACAAAGAGCAGAGGAATGTTTAGACTTTAAGAAATGCTAGGGTAGTATAAAGGAAGCAAAGGAGGAAATAAGTAGGCTACATGGGGTATGAAAGGACGTCAAGAAATCAACAAGTCAAGGAGGATGAGGCTTGGTCATTTACATATGACAACAAAGGAACCCTTGTAGATAAAGTACGTCACTAGAGAAGACAGTACATCACCCTGGGGAGTTAGGCTGGTAGCAAGCCTTTAAAAGGAACAAGACAAGCGTCAAGCTGATCGAGGTAGAGAACGAGCTTGGATCAAGAATAATAATGTGCTAGTGAACAAGGTCGAGCTAGAAAGAGGATGTATTGGGATATGAGAGACCCTACAAACTACCCAGATCACAAAAAGTCAGGAGGTCGTTGAGACCATTGAAAGGGGAATGCAAGAGTTCACGATGATCTGTTATGGGATTGTCCTATCCTAAGTGGAGGGAACACCTAGCCACCTAGGGTACATGAGGGGTGACAGAAGGAGGAACCTCTGTAATAAGTTGGAACTAGAGGGCTAAGAGCTGGAGTCTCGAAACCAGTTGTAGTAGTAAATCATTCAACCAACCTAGTATAGACAAGCAAGTAGAACATTTATTAGAAGTTCTAATAGATGTTAGAGAATTCAAGGAAGAGTCTCAACGGTCTTAATAAAAACAGGTTGCGTACAATACCAGGAAAGAGCAGGAAGGCTAGAGGAAGTTTGACGAGATTTCAAGAAGTCAACGGGTCAAGTCTCAGGTGACTCGAGGTCAAGAAGCTGCACAAGGAGGTACGATGAGGGAAAGCATTACCGAGAAGGCGGAAAAAGAGAAGTTACCTTATCCAAGGTGCCCCACTCTGAGTGGGCGCGACATAGTAGGAGGGCTCCAGAGGGGACGACTAGTTAATGAAGAAACAGAATAGACTAGTTTATGTACAAGATCGATCAACAAGAGAGACATGGAATGAGTTAGGTTAAAGGTTACCAAGGGCACGCCAAGGGCAGGCCACCATTGGAAGTTGTTCCCTAAAACAACAACGAGAAGATACTCAACAGAGGTTGGTGACCAAATATAGTACAAGTAACAATAGAGGAGTTGTAGTTTGGTGGTAGTAAAAGTAAAGAAGCAAGAAGAACACTGTGGGAAGTTATAGAAAAAAAATGGTTGGCATCAACCTGGCGATGTATGCATCAAGGAAGATAGTAAGACGGGCGGAAGCAGGAGTACAACAGACAAAAAGAAAGCATTTGGTTGACCACCAAGTAGAGAACAACCGATCCATAGGAAGTCCATGGAGATATTTCAGTCAATTCTTAAGGTGGAATCATGATCGTCAGGAATAGTCGAAGGGAGAACCTTATCTATCATGGTACATAAGTGAGAAGAGACTATAAGAACCTAGATGACTACATCGAGAACAAGGAACATCTAGAACTAATGAGTAACATCAAGGAGAAGAGTCACGAGTAGAGAAGTAATATGGATATGAGTTTAGGGAATCGGATAGGGTACCCCAAAGTGAAGCCAAGATCGCCTATGCGGGTGAAAGGTGCCGATCTCTCAGATAAAAATTTATTGGACGGGGAAACCGTACGATGAAGTTCAGCTAGGGTACAAGAGTGGTAGAAGGGATAGTACGAGAGCATAATATTCAAGCAACGATAAGGAAGTGTTAAGTTAGGCGCCAGGAGTGAACAAGTACTCAAAAGGGAAGGTCGTGATTCCGGAAAGAAGTCATAAAGTTTATCGCAAGCTAGTGAGAAATGCAAAGGATGTCTCTAATGCCTACAGAAGGTAAAAGCAGTAGTATGAGGTTTTGGCGCTAAGCAACAAGTAACGAGGAGATGACCATTCAGTCGATGGCTAAAGGGAGAGACAAAGAATCTTGGATGAAAGTAAGAGATTCAGAGTCAGAAGGTACAATGACCTAGGTGATCTACGTGGTCAACCACAGATGAGGTTATGTTAAAAGAGTTTTGCGTTATAACAAGATGGAGGTGAAGCGGCCATTAGTAACCTTTGGGTTGAAAGGGGTATTAAGAACATTAATAGGGATATGTAAGAGATTTTCTCATGCTAAAGTCACCATATATGGTGAATCAGGCATCAAGAGTGTGTGTCAAGTGGAATTATCAAAGAGGAGAGTAACGAGGCCTATAAAGGGAGAAGAAGCGATGCCTAGGAATCAGTATCGAAGTTAATCATTAAGTAGGCCAAACATTCTATACCAAGGAGAGTTGTCAGCAGTCAGGATAGGGAGGACAAAGTTCAAGGTCTGGGTCTCGTGTGAGCTGAAGTTACAACGAGTCATGACTTGAATAGGGCTGGCTAATAATTTATTTCCTTTAAGTTCTTAAGGAATCCTAAGTAGAGACCCAAGAAAAATCGTTGAGAACAATAAGAGCTACAAATGCCATTACACCGTCAGAGACATTTAAAAAGAGAGAGTGCCTTAGCGCCATAGACGCATTGAGCAAGTAACTAGCTTGAGCAAAAGATTTATGAAAAATGGGTGGGTATTTAGTTGGCGAAGGACCACACGAATTGGAGAAAAGGGTTTATAGCTCCAGGTTGTATAAGGTAAAGGAAGTATAAGTCCTTGCAGCAGAAGGATTACCTCAAGTGAGACTTTAGGTTATCAGCAATGAACAAATTTCGAGGTCGAAATTTTTCTTAAGGAGGGAGGAAATGTGACACCTCGAATTCGATCTAAGGTTCAAAAACAAGTACTGAATGGGCTAGACCAATAAATCGACTCGATGTGTTGTCCCGTCACGCCTTATGCCCAAGTGGGGAATTGAAAAGGATAAGTAGCCACCCAAAGCTGGCCGATGCTAACGAGCTTGGTGAGAATCCCTTCTATGGTCAAGAGGAAATATAAGAAGTGAGGTAAATCATACGGGATACGCAACGGACATCGGACAAACAACGGACATCATCGAAATACATTTAGCTAGAGTAAATTCTTGAGGCAAGGGAGTACAAAGATGGTGTAGAATGAGCAATGAGTTTCAAGCAAATTTTGGGGACGAAATTTTTATAAGGGTGGAGGAAATGTAACACCCCGAATTTTGGGTTACGTTCGACCGAATGATTGGATCGATGGTTACGTACGAAGGGTTGCAACCGCGGTTTATGAATAATAATAATAATAATAATAACTATATTATTATTATTATTATTATTAAAAAAATATACATATAAACCGAGAGGGCGCTCGACCCTCAATTATTTCGAAGAAAACCCTCACCGTCCCTTTAACATGTCTTTATCAATTCCCTACCCCTCATCAATTCTCCACCGACCCAACAGGGAGAAAATCACCGCCGCCATCCTCCTACGACTTCGCACAAAGAACCCAGCCCCATGATCCCTTTCGCCTCCACAAAGCAAGATCTTCTCACAAGTTCCTCACTTGTCGTTGTGATGGGAGCGACACATCTTAGCGGCGGTGGGCGGTAGGACGATTCCAAGGACGGGGACAAGGTTGTTTATATATCAGCGCATGTGGATTGACAATGATTGCACGGAGTAGAGGTAACACCAGTCTGCTTTGTTGAATCAAATTAGTATCACGTTTAGGATAAGCAATATTGGGGTTATGAGAGGTGCTTTAACGTGGCTTGGGACATTTTGTTGTGGTTGACTTTTATGAATGAGACGAATTGGGTTGATGTGGAACGAAGTCAATCAACTGCTACGGGATGTTCCGCATCAGGCTATCAAGAAGTGTTGGCGGATGGGTCAAAGTCATTCAGGATATTCGACAAAATCAGTCATTTGAGAATTAAGGTGAGTGTAAAGAGGTAAATTCTACGCCTTACGATTTTTAAGTATCTGCCTTGAGTATTTTTTTCGAGTATTGATTTACGTGATGCATGTGCAGTATTTGCTTCATGTTTGAGTTTGCATTATTATGGTTGATGATATGTGCTTGTTTGAGTTATGAATTGAAATGAATTGTGATTATTTACCTTGAAAATTTTATGAGTATAAGTTATTGTTAAAGTTTAAGAAACAAGGTATTTTTAAGAAATAACCCACCTTCAAGAAGGTGAAGTCGTTTTAAGTGTTTTTAGTCACTAGCGCCAATCCGTTGCCATTTGAGATTTTCAGATAGAACAGTAGTTATGCTCTTGAGATCTTTGAGACAGAGTAGCAGTTATGCTCTTGAGAATTTTAAGATGAGCAACAGTTATGCTCTTGAGAATCGTGGTGAAGAGCCACCACGATAAGTTTAAGATGTTAGGGGGATGAATCGTTACGACTTCCCTAACTAAGTTTAAGTTTAAGGAAAGCCTTGATGGCTTCTCATACGTATGAGTTGGCAACCGGACTAGCTAGTGAGGGATCCCAGTGTCAGTCAAGTATTTAAGTCAAGCTTTGAGATTTAAGAATGGAGTAACAGTAACTCCCATACAGTTTTAAGAGTTAAGCTTTTCGATAGTGGAAGTACAAAACAACTTCCACACAGTTAAGTAAAGTGCTCAAGTTTTAATAAGAGGTTAAACTTAAGGGCGTAGACTGACCCCAACTCACTCACCAGTTTGAAGAGGAAGAAGCTAGAGGAGCAGTTAGAGAGCAGTGGGATCGAGAGAAACAGTTCGAGTGAAGCTAGCTAGAGGAGGACGGTACGTGTGTCATAGAGGATGTCTAGTCAGAGTTTTTCACGCAAGCAACAACACCTGAGACTAGTTAATTATTATGTTTTATGATTATGAGTATAGACTGGTGATCAAGTTGAGTTTTTAAAGGTTGAGTTTATTTGGCCCACATGTTAGGGCTTTGCTTTGAACTACATGTGTGTGTTTTCATTATTTTATTTATTGAAATTTTTCCCAGTTGCAATTTAAGATTTTGAGTATTTTATTTATCAAGGGCATTTTAGTAAAAGTAGTACCCAGTCGGGTTAGGGTGTTTCAGCTCCCCCCGATGTGTTTCGTCAGAGTAGGGGTTATAGTATCTAGATTTTCTCGGTTACCTCCACCCTTGCTTGGTTCGATTCGGAAAATCCTAGAAAGCATATCCTGAAATGAAAGGAGAGGCACAAGGAGCAAACCAAAACTCCCAAAGGTAGGTGAAAAGATCAGTGGCACACGGTTATTTTCTTCACTTTCTCAACCACCTTTATTCAATTAGATTATCTCTTTGGGGGGTTTTATTTATTTGGGTATCCTTTTATGTTAAGATGAGTATGTGAATAAATGGCATTTAATACTGTGTGCTTGTTAGCCGAGCAAGTAGGGATAGATTCTCGTCCCTTTACCTCGCTCCATGACATACATGGGAGGATGGAAAATGGTAAAAAGATGTAGATGGACGCGGTAAAGCTATCCTAACTCCCATGTATTTTGTTCCAAAAGGAACTCCCATTACTATAGAACGGGTTGCCACAACATGTTTCATTAAACGCTGCACTTCAATTTTATTCTTAGTATGCATGATGTAAGACATAATAGAACCAAGTACATTTCCGATGTCCTAACTAGGAGAATTAGGGTTTTCTCAATATGCAAACCTATCCCACAGTCATTGTTCAAACATGCAGACTAGGATACATCGAAGAATCATCCAAAAATATATCTCACCAAGCAAAGCGCGCACTACGGACCTCAACATTGGTCGAGAAAAAGAGACAAAGATTCGACGATTCAAATTAAATGATCACACAACATGCTAACGGGTTTACTTGGAACCCTCAAATTTGAAAAAAAAATGGTCATACAATAAGCTTCCAAGCAAGTCTTATATTTCATTCGACTACGAAAAACCATTCAATCAATCGACCACATTACCACGAGCAATCATAAATATTTCACATTCATCATTAAGGAAAGTGATCAATCAACTTGGCAAACAACCATGAACTCATTTAAAAAAAGGCAATGCAACTCTCCACACTTGAGAGACACATTGTCCTCAATGTGGGAATTCTAGGTTAGGTTCACAAATTGTTACCATAGGTGGTCGATGTAGTCTAGGGGAAAATAGGTACCCAAGGTGAAGCTCTTCTTTGATCTAGAAAATATTCACACAAACACACAAGGGGGAATGGAGAAATGATTGTTATGGTGAGAAAAGATAGAAACCAGTGCATAACTAAAATGAAAATACCAAATAAGAGATACTAGGAACTAAAACACACAAATAGTTAATATCCAAAGTACTGAAAAGAAAATAAAAGAAGCAAACTGTCATGAGTTACAACTAGGAAATGAAAAGATAGGAGATGACCCTATGGTGCCAAGTAATAATGGTCAATCTAGTTATCTTCTGACTTTGCCTCGTCTTCCTCCTCTGGTATGGTGTAGGCTAGTGGAAGTGGAGTGCGCTCAAACCGATGCCTGACTGTAGTATAATCAAGGTTGCTCCTCCACATCAGAGCGTGAGTGTATTTGATCATATTATTACTCGCATCGCCATCCCTCTTCTGGTTCCTCGGGATGGTATCTCGCTGAGCTCCAATGGACGAGTCCTCGAAATTGGAAGAGGATGGTGCTCGGCTCGAGTAGACCTGGTGAAAGCTCTAGCGTGTAGATGGAGATGACGAATAATTATGGGATATCTGCTTATGATGTCGTGGGAGTGAGCGTCTAACTCCATTCAGAACCACAGTGTTGCTATCTGGGAACCCAACATCTCAACTCCCCAGACTCCCTCCTCATTCAGCTCCAATGTCTTCAAATATGTCTTCCGGATGTCGAACGAGACCAACACAAATAAGGTGTCAAATGGACTCTCGGCGGCAGCCACGTCAACAATGAGGTATCAGGCTATCCTAGTGATGTATGCTCCTCCATGCAAGCCCATCAACCGCTGGTCTAAGTCAAGCCAACAAAGAGTCTGTAGAATTGATTGCCCGAGATGGAGCTTTTGTCCGCCCTGCATGCTCCAAATGAGAAGGACATTTGTGGTAGTGAGATTGTCCTTGCTCCCGTACTTCCCTCCGGCTGATCGAGAAATGACGTGATGGATCAGTCGGAATTCGGGTCGAACCTCACTCCCCTTGGATTGCTTCACGTCCCAAGGTCTTCTGTGTGGTAGCCTCATCTCCCTGTCGTGGAAGTCTAGAGGGAAAGGGAATTTGATTTCCGGAATCAGTGCGGCAAAGTCGACCAGATCTTGAACGAACTCCGGAGGGTAGATATCGAGAGCCAGAGTGAAATTTTGCATCGTCATCTCGCGCTCCCTGCCTCTCAAGTTGAAGTAGATCCGAGGACTATCAGCAGTAGCATAACCTCAAATCTTCTTCACCCTTAGTGTACTTAGAAACTCAAGGGTGAGGACCCAGTAGATCCTCTCTTGGATCTCAAACAGAATCTCCAACACAATCGACTTCTCAAACTCCTCCCGGACCTCTCTACGACGGTTCCTCCTCAAGTACTAAAGTAGACTAGTGTAAGAATGTGCCCTCTTGGTAGGGTTCGAACTCTCCCCTTTGTCAATTACCTTGCCCTGTCATTTCTCCTGCAAATATGGGAAACACCCAACCAACCAAGCCAAAGAGTGAAAAGCAATAAAAAAGAAAGATGGGAGTATAGAAAACATGGTGCGGGGATTGAAGAAGGGAAAATTAATCAATGGGGTTCTAGTATAAGTCAAAGTAAGGTAATCCACAGTTCAATTTTGCACAGGTACTATCCAGCATCGAAGACCACAGAGATCCAGCGGGAGATCACTCACTTCCGCCAAGAGCCAGACGAGTCACTTCGTGATGCATGGGACGGTACATGGGATATTTCTGGCAGTGCCCCCATCATGGCTTCAGTGATGCATTCACCGTGGCGAACTTCTACAGTGCTCTCTCTCCGGACAGCCAGATGGTGATTGAGTCTCTATGCCCAGGAGGGGATATTCTTACTAAGACTCCACCCGAACTGAACCAGATGATCAGTACCTTGGCTGCCAGAGATCATTCCTGGGGGCATAGCACCAGAGGCAGGAATTCCCGGGATCGTGGTGTGCACGCCATGGAGGCCAAGCCCGGGCTCGAGCATCAGGTGGCCAAGTTAGTGCAGACATTGAAGCAGCCCAACAGTCTTATTCCGGGCAGAGGTTTGGCTACACCTCCAATAGCTCAATGTAAGTGGTGTGAAAGCTCAAATCATCTGGTGGAAGATTGCCAGGCTATGCGGGAGTCTTCTACCCCCCAAGAGCAGTTGGACTTCATTGCCAATGCTCGGCGCCTTGACCCATACAGCAACACATACAATGAGGGGTGGCGCCAGCATCCCAACTTCGCTTGGAGTAGCAACACCACTAAACCACCTGGTTTCCCAGCACTAGTAGGTGGTTTTCAGCATAGGCAGCCTTTCCAGGCCAGACAGGGGCCGCCCCCACAGCAACAGCCTTACCAGCCTAGGCAGAGGCAGCCATTCCAGCAGCCCCAGCGTCAGTATGCCCAGCCTCCAGTAGCTGCAGCTCCAGATAATCAAATGACGGAGCTGAAAAATATTTTGAAGGCATTCATGACCACCAGCCAGGCAAATTTCACGAGGATGGACCAGAACATAGCCTCACTGGAGGCAGGCCAGAGGAACCAGAGTGCCATTTTGCAAGATTTACAAAACCAGATTGGTGGCATAGCTCTCCAAAATACTACCAGGGCACCGGGGACTCTGCCTGCCACCACTATTCCGAACCCTCGTGAGCCTCACCAGCACCAGCAACTGGATGCCATCACTACCAGGAGTGGCAAGACCACATCTGCTGCTCCTGCCCAGCCCAGGCAGGACGAGCCACTACCTGCTTCAACACTTCCAGCTGACAATGCAGAAGTGGGGATGGACAAAGAAGCACCTGCTACCAAGCCACAGCCAGTGGTTAAGGAGCATGTACCCCAGCTTCCTTTCCCACTCGTCTACATAAAGACAAGCTGGAGACTGAGTTTGCCAAGTTCATGGCAATGTTGAAGCATGTCAACATCAGTATGCCGTTCGTGGAGGCACTGTCGAAGATGCCCAAGTATGCCAAGTTCATGAAATACCTCCTCACCAACAAGAAGAAACTTGGGGATCTTTCAACAGTGATGCTGAGCGAGGAGTGTTCTGCTATCCTGCAGAACAAGCTGCACGAGAAGCGTAAAGACCCAGGTGAACCTAGAGCTACTAGGATGAGCATTTAGTTAGCTTATCGTTCCATCGTGCATCCTGGGGTATCATTGAGGATCTGCTTGTTAATGTAGGTGCATTCACATATCTTATTGACTTTGTTATTCTGGATATAAATGAGGATGTGGATGTACCTTTGATTTTGGGTAGACCGTTTCTCGCCAGCGCCAAGGCGCTTATTGATGTGCATAGTGGTAAATTGATCTTGCGTGCTGGTGATGAACATGCTACTTTTTCGGTGTCCGAGAATGGGAAACACTCCCATTTGCATGATGACGTAGATTACTGTGATGTGCTTGCTGATTTCGAGACCGCACTCTCTATAATGAGTGCGGGTACTGACGATGCTCTTGAGCATTGTATTTTGCTAGGTGAGCAGGCATCGCAGGAGCCGCAGCTGGCGGAGCAGTTGGCCGCGCTGGAGAGTGGCCCATTCCTGGATGGCGACAGGCTGTTCAAACCGATCTCATCCTCACCCCGCATCACTACTTCTTTGGAGGAACCACCAGAGCTGGAGCTAAAGCCCCTCCCTCCTCATTTGGAGTATGCATTTCTCCGGGAGGGGAATAAGCTTCCAGTCATCATCAGCTCGACCCTCACACCCGAGCAGAAGGACAGACTGGTGGCCTTGCTGAAGCTGCACGAGCGTGCTATAGCGTGGAAGATCACAGATATCCAGGGGATCAGCCCCTCCTTTTGCTCCCACTGGATACTGCTGGAGGATGAGATGCGGCCAGTGAGACATCCGCAGAGAAGACTGACACCGAACCTGGAGGCTGTGGTTCGGGCAGAGATCGTGAAGCTGATGGACGCGAGGATCATCTTTGCCATTTCCGACAGCGAGTGGATCAGTCGCACCCAGGTGGTACCCAAAACGGGTGGGATGACTGTGGTGCCTAACGAGAAGAATGAGCTCATCCCGATGCGCACGGTGACTGGGTACCGTGTCTGCATTGACTACCGGCGTCTCAACGACGCCACTCGGAAGGACCACTTCCCGCTACCGTTTATTGACCAGATGCTGGAGAGACTGGCGGGGCATGAGTTCTACTGTTTCCTGGATGGGATGTCCGGGTACTTCCAGATCCCCATTGCACTGGAGGACCAGGCGAAGACCACTTTCACCGGTCCCTTCGGCACATTTTCCTACCGGAGGATCCCATTCGGGCTATGTAACGCCTCCGCCACTTTTCAGCGATGCATGCTCGCCATCTTTGACCGTCTGGTCGGTGAGATTATGGAGGTGTTTATGGACAAATTCTCGGTTTATGGAGACTCATTCTCTCACTGTCTCCATAACCTGGAACTCGTCCTTAAACGGTGCGAAGAAACGAACCTGGCACTAAGTTGGGAGAAGTGCCACTTCATGGTTCGCAAAGGCATAGTTCTAGGGCATAAGATGGGGATTGAGGTGGACTGAGTGAAGATTGAGACTATCAGCAAGCTGCCTCCTCCTACATCTGTTAAGGGGATCAGGAGTTTTTTGGGCCATGCAGGGTTCTACTGGCGGTTCATCAAGGATTTTTCGAAGATCGCCCTGCCCCTGACTAAGCTTCTTGAGAAGGATGCCCCCTTCCAGTTCACTGATGCATGCACAGCGGCATTCACGATCTTGAAGGAGAAGCTCACCCAAGCTCCTATCATGGTTGTTCCTGACTGGTTCCTGACTGGTCCCTGCCATTTGAGCTGATGTGCGATGCCAGTGACTTTGCTGTTGGAGCTGTCTTGGGGCAGAGGCGAGATCAACACTTCCGACATATCTACTATGCCTCGAAGACCCTGAATGATGCCCAGGAGAACTACACCACCACGGAGAAGGAGCTGCTCACGGTGGTGTTTTCCTTCGACAAATTTCATCCTTATCTGGTCTTGTCCCATGTGACCGTGTATACAGATCACTCCGCGATTCGATACCTGATGAGCAAGGCTGATGCCAAGCCCAGGCTCATACGATGGATCTTACTACTGTAGGAGTTCGACATCAAGATTCGGGACAAGAAGGGATCGGAGAATGTTGCAGCCGATCACCTCTCCCGGTTGGACGCACCTCCTACGGACAACCTCGAGGAGGAGATCAACGACTCCTTCCCGGATGAGAGACTGATGATGATGTACCTGGTGGAGAGTGTCACCCCGTGGTACTCCAATTTTGCGAACTATCTGGTGGGCCAGCGGCTGCCCAAGGGGATGACAACTCACACCAAGAGGAAATTTTTCTCCGACCTGAAGCACTACTTCTGGGATGACCCTCGTCTCTTCAGGATCGGAGCCGACGGGATCATCCGTCGCTGTGTCATGGAGAGTGAGATGGAGGGCATTCTATCTCACTATCATGAAGGACTTACTGGCGGTCACCACGGAGGAAACCGCACAGCAAGGAAGGTGCTACAGTCGGGCTTTTACTGTCCCACGCTCTTCAAGGACGCAGGTGCGACCGATGCCAGAGGTCAGGTAACATCTCTACCCGTGATGAGATGCCCCCAGAATGTGTTTATAACTTGTGAGATTTTTTATGTCTGGGGTATCGACTTCATGGGCCCCTTCCCTCTATATTTTGGCAATACCTATATCCTGGTTGCTGTTGTCTACGTCTCTAGGTGGGCTGAGGCGCAAGCTTTGCCCACTAAGGTTGCTAGACGTGTTTTTGGTTTTCTGAAGCAGCTATTCTCCCAGTTCGGGACACCTAGAGCCATCATAAGCGATCGAGGCACCCATTCCCAAGGCCAGTTCGATAAGTTACTGTCTCGCTATGGTGTGACTCATAAGGTGTCCGTGGCCTATCACCCTCAAACAAGTGGCCAGGCCGAGCTGACGAACCGGGATCTCAAGCGTATCCTGGAGAAGACGGTGGATCAATCCCACAAGGATTGGTCCACCAAGCTCGATGATGCTCTCTGGGCATACCGCACTGCCTACAAGACACCCATTGGTACCTCACCTTACCGGCTTTTCTATGGAAAGGCATGCGATTTGCCCGTGGAGCTAGAGCACAAGGTCTTTTGGGCCCTTAAGCTGCTCAACTTGGATGTTAGTGTTGCAGGTGTTGAGCAAAAAATGCAGATACTGGAGCTGGAGGAATGGCGTTATCACGCCTATGAGAACACCAAGCTATACAAGGAGCACACTAAGTGCCTTCACGATGCACAGTTGCGGGGTCCGAAGGAGTTCCAGGTTGGTGATCGAGTTCTCCTCTATAACTCTTGCCTAAAGCTCTTTCTCGGAAAACTACGTTCCCGGTGGTCTGGGCCGTTCACGGTCACACAGGTGTTCCCGTATGGCACGATTGAGATTGCCAACCCGCAGACTGAACCATTTGAAGTGAATGGTCATCGTCTCAAGCTCTACTTGGAAGGTGAGGTCGAGCGTGCGGAGTTGGTAGTGGAACTCGCGGATCCTTAGTCCGCCATGGGCGTCCAGCTAAAAGACGGTAAAGAAGCGCTTGTGGGGAGGCAACCCCACCACGGTTTACATTTGTCTCTTTTGTTTTGGGTCAAATTGTAAACTCGTTTTGTTTTGGTTTGTTTTCTTTTGTTTTGGATGATGTATTATTGGGCTGACCATTGGACCTAACAGATTGTGTTTGAGTTCTTCTATTCCCTTTAGTTGTGCATTGTTCCTGACTGGTCCCCTCTCCAGTCCGCTTCACTCAGACTGGTCCGCTTCCAGTCTCATGTAGTCCGTGCACACCGGTAACATCGTTCCCCTTATCCTTCCCTCTTCTCCATCGAGGGCCATGTCGATCTTAAGTGTGGGGGGGATGTTTCTCTTTTGACTGCATTAGATATGTTTGTGTACTTGGAGCCTAGTCCACTGTCCAAATTTTCAAATTTGAGGGCTCCAAGTACGTGTTTCCTTGCAAATTGCCTGCTCAGTATGCTTTGAATTGACAGTCTCTATAGTAATGTGCAACCTAGGGAGGTAGTGTAGCACTATGGAGGATGTTGAAGTATAAGATTTTTCCTATCTAGCTCTCTGATGTGCCAGTTGATTTTGTGAATTAGTGGCGCTAGGACCATTGAATTCATGTGATGATGGTGACTCTATTTGGATTGTGTTATGGACTCGTGTATCGAACAGGGTGTTCATGCGAAAAATGAAATGCAGTTGGTCCTCCATGTCAAAATCTTTAAATCTTAAACATGGGGTAAGCCCAACGTGTGTGGACCCGTTCATTGCACAAAATCGGGTTTTGGAAGAGATTTTAGTGATCCTTAGTGGGGTACTCCTACAAGGTGAAGCTAAGCCGTCTCTAGTACAAGTAAAACTTCCACCCATTGAACGGCTTGCCTACTTGAGGATGTGTTTTTAAGGGCACGGATAGAGCTTCCGACCCCTCTTAATTTCATTGACCCTTCACACGAGTTGAGGAAAATGAGTTAAAAGAAGTACTCTGGCGAGCACCAGATGTACAGAAATTGCTCTTGCTCGACTAATAAGGGTCGACCGTGCGAAAGACTGCAATTGGAACCCCCGCTAAGTGAATGAAAATAGGAAAAAAAAGAAGTAAAATGGAAGTGAAAAAGGGGTTCCAATGGTGAAATGAAGTGAAAGAGCACCCCCGGTATCGCGAGTCCTTGATTGTGAATGGTGTGAGTCCCTTTATCCATGAACTGACTGTCTTACTTCCACTGCTTCTCATGATCCTGGCTTGAGTCTAGTACTCGCATTGAGAGAGATAGGGAACGTCTTAGAAAACCAGTTGACCTCGTAAGCTGCTATATGATCTAAAAAATCCTCTACCGACGATCGGGGTTGTTTGTTGCTATAGAGGTCTGGAGAGTTGCATTGGTTTGAGTTAGTTTTGCTTGGGTACAAGAAAACGGTTAAGTGTGGGGGAGTTTGATAGACCGTTAATTTCACATGTTTTTACCCCTATTCTTGAGCCGTTGGAGATGTCGATTCTCGCGTTTTAGGCCAATTTCACGCTAGGTTGTTCTTGTTTGTGATATTTCAAGTCCTAATACGTGAATGAAGGTTTGGGGACGAGTTTGGGGTCGATTGGACGAAGATTGGACATGTGGCGTGAAGCAGATGGAGCCACACGGGCAGGCCTAAAACCTACACGGCCGTGTGGCACCAAATTGCACGAGCAAAGTCACACGGGCTGTGTGGAAATTCCAGGGAACTCACACGGGCATCCTGGAATTCCACACGGTCGTGTGGGTCGTGGCCGTGTAGGAAGCTTGAGTCACTTATCAAAACGCCGCGGTTTGCACATCTCACACGGGCAGCTGGGGATGTCACACGGCCGTGTGGCCTGGCTGTGTGAGTGGGGATTTTCTGGGTTTTAACCCAATTTTCAGCAAAGGAGAAAAGGGTTCCGAGTTTTAGAGAGAAAAAGTGCGACCTAGAGAGAGAAAGTGACGAACCTGACTCTGCAAGTGTTGTAGATCGATCTCCATCACCATTGGAGCCCGCCTTCAGCTTGGAGAAGACCTGATTGAGTGCCAGAAGCAGATTATCATCCTTCACAGTATGGTTTCCGCATCTGAGCTAGATTTCCCATCTCTCTCTATGGAGTAGTTTTCTTATTCACATTTGTATGTTAGGTCTGATTGTATGAACCCAAGTACAGATTCATTGATTTGATTATATTCAATTGAGGTTTGATTTATTGAATGGCATGAATCCTGATCAAATTCCTGTTGTTTCTACTTTAACCTAGAAAGAGAATATCTGCCTAGGTTGATAGAGCACCCTTAATTGAAGGTAGTGAGTTGGCGACTTTAGTCGAGGAGGCAATTCACTATTCTGTACCGAATTTGCTTCGGTAGTGGAGGTTTGGTTTGTTAGGGCCTCAATTTGTTTACTCCGGTGGAGGTTAGTCGCCCGCTGTAGACTCAGATTGAGAGGGTCTGGAGACCTTTAGTCGAGACTTCAGACTATTTAAGAATCTCCCGCAACATAACTATCATTGAAACTGAACTTGGTAAATTACAATCTGGCTTAACTGCAGTCTAGGGGGAACCATATCCGGGTGACCTCTCTCGACTTGAAACACCCTTTTTACTTGCTTGCTTGTTTGCTTTAATTTCACCTTCACTAAAGTTTCACTGCTAAATAATAAGAACTCACGGAGTAGTCATCACATCTAGGACTCGGGTTGACATTAAAACCCAAACCCGCTATACTACGCTTTAGGAGGTGGTTACACTTGGCCATTTTCCAGTCCGACGGGTTCGGGATCTCCACCTCGTGGTGCGAGAAGGGATGGTACTGGATCCCCATGGCGTAGGCCAACCCATCAATGATCAGCTGCCGTTGCCTGCCACCCAGCCTGAGAGTGACTGCGAGAGAGTCCATGGCCGCCTTGGGGTGGTAATGGAAGGTGGTGTAGAAATCCCACACCAGCTCTGTGTAGGTGGGATCCTCGATAGTCAGCAACGTCCGCCAATCCTGGTGGCTGATGGCGGTGGAGATCTCGTTCAAGTAGTGGAGCTGCTCGAGTAACTGATAGACCATTGATTGAACATGTTTTTACCCCTATTCTTGAGCTGTTTGAGATGTTGATTCTCGTGTTTTAAGCTGATTTCATGCTAGGTTGTGTGTTTATGTCATATTTCAGGTCCTGGCGTTGGCATCGAGGCAAAGAAATGAGTTTCGAGTCGAAAGGAGCACGTTTGAGTTGAAGTGTGCTGGAGGAGCAAAATACCCGGCCATGAGCAGAAATACCCGGCCGGGTATTAATCGGAGCAGACCGAGAAAACCTCTTTTGGGCGTTTGAGAAGCAGAAGGGGGCCCGGGCATTAAGGAAAAATCCCCGGTAGGGTATTCTTGACCTTGGGCGGGGATTAATCCCCTGTCTGCGACGGTGTGTTTCAACAATCCCCGGTCGTCACCTAAAATACTCGACCGGGGATCACGAACGCAGGCTGTTAAAAGTCTGTTTTGTGCGTTTTCGCAAGAGGGAGCTGGGTTTTGGATCCCAAACACCCTAGGGACAAAGCAAATAGAGAGAGGGTGATTTGAGGGCATTCTTGGAGTGGAACTTGAGGATTTCTTCGCCTTGGAAGCTCAAGGAACAAGCCCTGACTTGAAGACTGATCATCTGAAGATTCTTACTGCAGTCTCTCTCTTCTCTATGCAGTAACTTCCCTTCACTTAGGTTTTGAGGAACCCTAGCCATGTTTGTTTGATTGGATGATTGTATGAGTACTCCTACTTGATAATCTTGAGTTCATATTCAATCTATGCATATTTTCATGATTCAATTCTGCTTTAGTCGAGATTATTGATTCTGCTTTGATCCTATGAGAGCGAATACCTGATTAGGTAAATAGAACACCATAGATTGATAGTATTGGATCAATTGCTTTAGTCAAGGGTTGATTCACTGCTTTGTATCGATTGAGAACCTCTTTCGATAGAGGGAGTCTAGTTCAGAATGCCTTGATCGGTTGTTCTAGAGAAGGATACGTCCCTCTAGGCAATTGACTCAAGAGGGCCTTGTTCCTTTAGTCGAGACTCAAGGTCTAGTCAAGGATTCTCCGCATTGTGAATGAAAGTGAAACAGGTTAGAGATCATCAATCATTAATCTGGCTAGTGGCTAGGGGGAATCATACCTAAGTGAGTTCCCAACCTGTAATTAGATCAACTTTAACTGTAGTTTGCTAGAGTAGTTTTAGTTGTTCTATCTTAATCTGGTTTGCTAGATAATGAACTAAAGCTGAGTAATAGTAACTCTAGAGACCCGTGGATTCGATATTTATTACTTGAGCCACTATACTGCAGTCCCTTTCATTGGTTACACTTGGCCATTGTTAGGAGTTGTGTCATAGCGAGTCAAGTTTTTGGCGCCGTTGCCGGGGACTTTCTAGATTATTAGGAAAGGCAGAAGTTTGTTATTTTAGCGTTTTTCTTTTCTTTTCCACCTTTGCTTTTCACTTGGGTGTTTTTGTTGTTGGTGCAGATCAGAATCATGGATCCTCATGGCTTCCCCAACCATTGGGAGTATCCACCACCATCCGAGTGGTATTACCCCGAGACTTCCTGGAGCAATCAATGAGGAGAAGACTATGGATTCGGGTTCCAGTACCAACCCCCTTTCTACGGAGAACAATCAGACCCCTGGGCATATCAAGAACAACCTCCTTATCAAGAAGAATTTCTCCCACAACCAGAAGGGCCATCGGAGCTGGAGTTAGCCATGGCGGCCTTCACGGGCCATTCTGCAGAGCCATGCTACACTCCACAACCAGATCCTAACTATGAATTGAGGCTTCTCATGGAGCGGTTTGCTCGAGACAGTGAGATATCATGCTCCAGGATGAATCTTTGTACCCAGGCCTATCGTGAAACAGAGGAGATCCTCCTGAGCATTAAGAGCAGCCTTGATGATCTTGAGAAATTTTATGCACAGTCTGATCAAGATCACCCTTCGCCTACTATACTAGAAAAGGAGGAGGAGGAAGGCGAAGGTTACAAAGACATTGTGGAGCATACAGAAGTTGTCACGGAGAGCTCCCGTGATGATCATGATCAGGAATGTCCTGTCATAGCCGACCACACCTTCCCACATCCCACACTGAGCTTTGAAGAGGCGGGCATGAGTGAGGAGATGCAAGAAGATCTCATCAAAGAAATTGCTTGGCGACTTGCCCTCCAATCCGTGCTGGAAGAAGAAGAGCAAGAAAGGGTGTAGAAAGAAGTTGTGGAGGATGACAAAAGTGAAGCAGAAGGAGTTCTTGATCATTTTCCAGGGGTGATACCACATGAAGAAGGAAGGGAGGTTGAAGAAGCAATTGGCGTCCAGGCCGAGGACAAAGTTGAGGTGGAAGAGGCTTGCACCGGCCATGAGTTACATGTGATATCTCCACCAAACTTCGAGGAACTGCTTAGCAAGGACCCATTTGCAGTGTCTCTTTGCCAGACCAAGGACACATCAACATCGGTCCCTCTTGGTTGACGAGATGGTGGCCAATCGATGTTTTCATATCTGGTTTGGGGCAATGAGAAGAGAGAAGAGAAGAAGATGTCTCGAGGGCGGAGACTTCATCCGCATCAAGTGCACGAGCTTCCCTCACCTGTCATACCACATGCTCGTAACTTGAGACTCCACCTCATTGACGAGAACCTCAACTTCAAGGAGGTTTTGGGGTGGACCTAAACTTAGGAGCCATCGTCCAGCTCATGACATGAAAGAAGCGCTTGTTGGGAGGCAACCCAACTAGTCGGTTTGCATTTCTTTCTCTATTTCTCCTCGGTTGAGTCAGTTTTGTTCTTTAATTTTAGAGTTAATAACTCAACATTTGTGGGATATTGTGTGGTGTTTGTGTTCCGACTACTCTCTCCTCCTGGAATGCACCACCTGACCCGTCCACCATCATTCACCCTTGATCTGGTAACTTCGTTCTACCCTCCTTATCTTTCCTCCATTGAGGACAATGTCGTGCTTAAGTGTGGGGGGATGGGGATGATCGATTGTTTATGCGTGTGAATGTTTGGCTGTTTGTGTGCTTGGAGCCTACTCCACTGTCCAAATTTTGATTTGAGGGCTCCAAGTCTTTCCTTGCAAATTGCCTGCTCAATATGCTTTGAATTGACAGTCTCTATAGTAATGTGCAACCTAGGGAGGTAGTGTAGCACTATGGAGGATGTTGAAGTATAAGATTTTTCCTATCTAGCTCTCTGTTGTGCTAGTTAATTTTGTGGATTACTGGAGCTAAGACCGTTGAATTCATGTGGTAATGGTGACTCTGTTTGGATTGTGTTATGGACTCATGTATCGAACAGGGTGCTCATGTGGGAAATGAAAAGCAATTGGTCCTCCATGTCGAAATCATTGAAATCTTAAACATGGGGTAAGCCCAACGTGTGTGGCACCGTTCATTGCACAAAATCTGGTTTTGGAAGAGATTTTAGTGATCCTTAGTGGGGTACTCCTAAAAGGTGAAGCTAAGCTGTCTCTAGTACAAGTAAAATTTTCACTCGTTGAACGGTTTGCCTACTTGAGGATGTGTTTTTAAGGGCACGGATAGAGCTTCCGACCCCACTTAATTTCATTGACCCTCCACACGAGTTTAGGAAAAGGAGTTAAAAGAAGTACTCTGGCGAGCGCCAGATGTACAGAAATTGCTCTTGCTCGACTAATAAGGGTCGGCCGTGCAAAAGACTGCACTTGGAACCCCCGCCAAGTAATGAAGAAAAAGAGAAAAAGAAATGTAAATGAAAGTGCAAAAAAGGGGTTCCAACGGTTAAATGAAGTGAAAGAGCACCCCGGTACAACGAGTCCTTGGTTGTGAATGGTGTGAGTCCCTTTATCCATGAACTGGTTGTCTTACTTTCACTCCTTCTCATGATCCTGGCTTGAGTCTAGTACTCGCATTGAGAGAGATAGGGGACGTCATAGAAGACCAGTTGACCTCGTAAGCTGCTTTATGATCTAGGAAATCCTCTACCGATGATCGAGGTTGTTTGTTGCTATAGAGGTTTGGAGAGTTGCATTGATTTGAGTTAGGTTTGCTTGGGGACAAGCAAACGGTTAAGTGTGGGGTAATTTAATAGACCATTGATTGCACATGTTTTTACCCCTATTCTTGAGCCGTTTGAGATGTTGATTCTCGTGTTTTAAGCCGATTTCACGCTAGGTTGTGTGTTTATGTCATATTTCAGGGCCTGGCATTGGCATCGAGGCAAAGAAACGAGTTTCGAGTCGAAAGGAGCACGTTTGAGTTGAAGTGTGCTGGAGGAGCAAAATACCCGGCCATGAGCAGAAATACCCGGCCGGGTATTAATCGGAGCAGACCGGGGGAAACCTCTTTTGGGCGTTTGAGAAGCAGAAGGGGGCCCGGGCATTAAGGAAAAATCCCCGGTCGGGTATTCTTGACCTTGGCCGGGGATTAATCCGCTGTCCGCGACGGTGCATTTCAACAATCCTCGGTCGCCAACTAAACTACCCGACCGGGGATCGCGAACGCAGGCTGTTAAAAGCCTGTTTTGTGCGTTTTTGCAAGAGGGAGCTGGGTTTTGGATCCCAAACACCCTAGGGACGAACCAAAGAGAGAGAGGGTGATTTGAGGGCATTCTTGGAGTGGAACTGGAGGATTTCTTCGCCTTGGAAACTCGAGGAACAAGCCCGGACTTGAAGACTGATCATCTGAAGATTCTTACTGCAGTCTCTCTCTTCTCTATGGAGTAACTTCCCTTCACTTAGGTTTTGAGGAACCCTAGCCATGTTTGTTTGATTGGATGATTGTATGAGTACTCCTTCTTGATAATCTTGAGTTCATATTCAATCTATGCATGTTTTCATGATTCAATTCTGCTTTAGTCGAGATTATTGATTCTGCTTTGATCCTATGAGAGCGAATACCTGATTAGGTCAATAGAGCACCATAGATTGATAGTATTGCATCAATTGCTTTAGTCGAGGGTTGATTCACTGCTTTGTATCGATTGAGAACCTCTTTCGATAGAGGGAGTCTAGTTCAGAACGCCTTGATCGGTTTTTCTAGAGAAGGATACGTCCCTCTAGGCAATTGACTCAAGAGGGCCTTGTTCCTTTAGTCGAGACTCAAGGACTAGTCAAGGATTCTCCGCATTGTGAATGAAAGTGAAACAGGTTAGAGATCATCAATCTGGCTAGTGGCTAGGGGGAATCATACCTAAGTGAGTTCCCAACCTGTAATTAGATTAACTTTAACTGTAGTTTGCTAGAGTAGTTTTAGTTGTTCTATCTTAATCTGGTTTGCTAGATAATTAACTGAAGCTGAGTAATAGTAATTCTAGAGACCCGTGGATTCG